AACATGAAGATTTTTTGGGATTTGATTGGTGCATGTCGTTCTTTCTAGGATATTTACTATACCTTCAATCTGGTAGTAAGACGTGATCCAAAGACCAATAATTTCAAAGCTGTTCTCGCTACTATGCGGCAGTTGTTGAATACTGAATGTGTAGTACCTGACTGGCTTACAGATGTAGTATTGGGATACGGTGAACCTGACTCTGCTCACTACTCAAAGTCAGCTTTGTTCTTTTCTTCATATTTTGCTACAGATCAGCTGAATGGCGTGAATTCATTCCAGAATGAATAATGTGGTGCCAACCATGGACTTTAATGACACTTTTCTCTCATTTGAACATCTAAAGGAGTCATTTCCTGGTTATCGTATTGTGGCGATGGCTGAGGAGGAGAAAATGATGCCGCCATTCCAGTTTGTTCATCTTTAACTACTTTCTAATGTTTTCTGTGGAATTGTCTCTTACAGGTTAACTTTCAAAGATCTCATTCGTGGGGGTGAATCTGAGGATGAAAAAGTTATTGAAGTAACACCTTTGGTACGCGATTCACAGACGCCCTATCCTATTTTCCCTAATAAGAACAAAGTAAAGTTTACTCCAGCGCAAATAGAAGCGATCAAGGTAGGTACTGGTTATTTTTGATGGTTGTAATGCCATCATCTGTTATTATTTAGGCTGGTATGCAGCCAGGCTTAACAATGGTTGTGGGACCTCCTGGTACGGGTAAAACTGACGTAGCTGTCCAGATCATTGCGAACATCTACCACAATTGGCCACAGCAGCGTACTTTAATTGTAACGCATTCTAATCAAGCTTTGAATCAGCTGTTCGAGAAAATTATTGATCTGGATGTTGATGAGAGGCATCTGCTGCGTATGGGTAAGTGTTAATGTTCTTTAAAAGATGCAAAGGTTCAAAATTTTCAATGCTCACTTGCACATTGTAGGTCACGGTGAGGAAGGACTTGAGACTGAAAAAGACTTCTCTCGTTATGGCCGGGTTAATCATGTGCTGAAGGAAAGGTTGCGCTTGTTATCTGAGGTAATATTGGTGTTTTGTTTTGAACATTTTCTTTTAACAGTTATCGCTTTTTAAGGTGGAGAGATTACAAAAAGCAATGAATGTGGTTGGTGATGTGTCGTACACGTGTGAAAATGCGGGACACTTCTTCCGATTCACGGTAACCTATCCTACCTCCTTTTTTCCCGTTGCTCCAAAATGTCATGATCTAGGTTTGTCGAGCATGGGATGATTTTATCGAGCAATGTGCTGTTGAGAAGGATGGTATCGTAGCTGAGACATTCCCATTTACTGGATACTTCTCTGATATCGACCCATTATTTAATGTAGGTCATTATTGTTTCTTTTGTTGTTTTGCGCCCCTCAACGGTTATTTTCCTTGCTAGGGCACTTATGCTACTGACATGGAAACTGCTCGTTGCTGTTGGCGTCACATAAACCACATATTCGAGCAACTCGAAGAGTTCCGCGCTTTTGAG